GCCTGGCACCTGGTGACAGAGTGAAACTCTAGCTCAAAAAAAAATGTCATCTCCCTCCAGGGTAAAGGTCAGGTAGGCTTACTGTCCATTATCAAAGTTTGGGTCCCCTAAACTGGTGATCCCTCTCCTGTAATAGACTGCAGTGCATTACAGGAGAGCCATCACCACACACATCACTCAGCCCAGGGGTCCCCAAACTTTTTACACAGGGGGCCAGTTCACTGTCCCTCAGACTGTTGGGAGGGTCAGACTATGCAAGATGTGACATCCTTCACAGCCAGCGCTGCTGCCTCCACTATCCCAGACAGCGGTATTACAGTGTCACAGGCCCAGCACCACCTCCAGTGCTGTATACAGGGATGGCTGTGATCAGCCTGTGACACTGTGTATACAGCGTCCTGGACATCTGCAGCAGCGGTGGGCCTCTTCTGTGGGAAGCCCACTGCTGCATGTTTCCCCTATTATAAGACACCTCCTAAAAATAAGACAGCCCCCATCTTTTGGGGGTCAAATTAATATAAGACAGGGTCTTATAACAGGGGAAACACAGTGTGTAGTAATGTGGGGGGAGACTTTTGGGCAAAGGGAGGTTATAGGGGCCATTATGTTGTTGTACATTTGGGGGAGTATGGGGGCCACTGTACTGTGTAGTAATGGTTATAGTGCTTTGCCTTTCTTCCCACTTCTGCTGTTATTTCACACTGCTTCCGGTGATGTGGGGCACCGCGGCTGCAGACCGGATGTGCGTCATATGACGTGCTTCCAGAGCCGTGACGTGTGCGTCCCATGTCACCGGAAGTAGTACTGTACGTGAGCAACGCCACGCTTTGCGGGCTGCCACATACAGTGCTCCCCTCACTGACCACCAATGAAAGAGGTGCCGTTCCTGAAGTGCAGCGGGGGCTGGATAAATGGCCTCAGGGGGCCGCATGCGGCCCACGGGCCATAGTTTGGGGACCCCTGACTCAGCCCCTTTCACCTTCCTCTATGGAGCAGTGGGCTTGGGAAACGAGCACAAATGCTAACACTCTGATTCCCATTATTCTCACAGTAATAAAGTCCTATGTCTCTGGCCCAGAAGTCTTCTGTCTCCTACTAGCATCTAGGAAAGATATTGGCTTGCATGGAAGGCAAAATCTGACTCTCCACAGTTCTTGAAAAAACTGTATTTATAGTGAAACAATTCACATATTCTGACCACCCCCATCCCCAAGTAATTCTGAGGATTCTCTGATACAATCATTGATGGTACAAAATGTAAGCTCCAATTTTGTAGAATGCCTCTCAACATATCTTTTTTTTTTTTTGAGACAGGATCTTGATCTGTCACCCAGGCTGGAGTGCCTCGGCTCACTGCAACCTCTGCCTACCGGGTTCAAGAGATTCTTATGTCTCAAACTCTTGAGTAGCTGGGACTACGGGCACATGCCACCGCACCCGGCTTATTTTGACAGGGTTTCACCCTGTTGGCCAGGCTGATCTTAAACTCCTGACCTTAAGTGATTTGCCTGCCTCAGCCTCCTAAAGTGCTGGATTACAAGTGTGAGCCACCATGCCTGGTCTCTCTACACATCTTTTAAATTCCTTTCTTTTCCAATAGGTCCAGAACTAGTACAAATTTTAGCCCAATCCTGCTCAAAACAGAATTAAGGTGAGGAATCCCTAACCCCGTAGAAGGAAAAATACTGAGATTTCACTGGAAGTTGGAAACTATGGACCAGTATTCACCTAGGTTTGTTTCTACCTCTCCCAAACACTCATGCTGTATCTCCTTTCTAAGGTCATCTTATAAACAGTGTCTGCAATTCAGTCCTCAGCACCTTCCTCTTTACAACCCCTTGGCAAACTCATCCACATTCAGGCTTAAATTACCATTTATACACACAAGCTTTTCTATTCAAGAACCCTCCTCTAAGCTGTAGGTTCGTGTATAAAACTGACATTCTCTCAGATACTTCAGTGGTACCTTAAAGTGAATGTGTTCAAAATCAAACACACAGGCTACTCAATCCTATTTCAATGTTCCTACTTCAATTCTCTATTTGTTTATTTAAGTCAGACATCTAGCATTTACTTCATGTTTAATTTCACTAAATCCTGTCACGTTTACCTTTAAATACCAGAAATCTGTTTCCAACACTTTAATCCTACTCAATCTATTATCATCTCTCACCTTGCCTATTCCAACACCCTTCTAACTGGTCCACTTACACCCAATCTGGCCTTTTTCCAGTCTGCTCTCTATGGGGTAACCATGGAGATCTTTATAAAAGAAGTAAACGTGAGAAAACAAAATGAAAAATGTGTACATCTCACCTGTTTAAATCCTATTAAAAGAGCATCCCACATGGTCCCCAATCCTCAAGAGAAAAATCAATCCAAAATGTCTTGTTCTTTCCCTATTTTTCTCAAACATCATGGAATGCACAACTCTCCTTAAAATCAACCTCTTTTTTTTTTTCTTCACCCTTCCTACTTCACTCACACACTAAAGAACTATTCAGGACACTATTTCAAATTACGTGAAAAATTCTACTCTGGTCTACTCCCTCTCCATTCTCTCAATTCAGAAGTATAAAAGTCCAAAACACAACACGTCCAGCAAAACACAACCCTCCATATGGCAGGGTGAGCAAATAAAGCGGGTAGGATGAACAGAGCAGGTTTGGAACACTGGTATAACAACAGCATGCATATGTTCACCAAGCAAGAGTTAGCTTTTTCAGTAAGACTAATTCTTTCTCATACTTAAATTTCCTTACTTTCACACTTTTTTCTTCAACTTCACATAGCAAAAGCAGCAGTCTGACAGAAAAAAACAATAAGCTTTTAGTCTTAAATATGAGAGACAAAAATCAGAGTAAACCCAGTTGAGAGGAACTAAATGGCCCAGGAAATTACCCTATGGCAATCCTTAGACTCACTGGTTTTGTATATATATATATATATATGTGTGTGTGTGTGTGTGTGTGTGTGTGTGTGTGTGTTTTAAAAGCATGCAAACTTCAAATTAGAAAATTACGTTTAAATACTAGGTCTTTTGCTTATGGGTATAAAATTTTATACAAGTTTTAATTAACTAAAATTTCATTTTGCTTATGATACGGTTTGGCTCTGTGTCCCCACCCAAATCTCATCTTGAAGTGTACTCCCATAATTCCCAGGTGTTATCAGGGGAACCTGGTGGGAGGTAATTGAATCCCAGGGTCAGTTTCCCCCATACTGTTCTAGTGGTAGTGAATAAGTCTCACGAGATCTGATGGTTTTATCAGGGGTTTCCACTTAGGCATCCTTCTCATTTTCTCTTGCCCCTGCCATGTAAGAAGTGCCTTTCGGCCGGGCGCGGTGGCTCAAGCCTGTAATCCCAGCACTTTGGGAGGCTGAGACGGGTGGATCACGAGGTCAAGAGATCGAGACCTCATGCCTCAGTGCCCCCAAGCAGCTGAGACAGGTGTGTGCCACCATGTAGTGGTGTATTTTTGTGTTTTTAGTAGAACCTACAGAAACATTGTTTGGTCCCGATTCCGGAAAAGGTGCCAAGAGCTTAGTTGAACTCCTTGATGAGTCTGAATGTACTTCAGATGAGGAAATCTTTATCTCACAAGATGAAATACAGTCATTTATGGCTAATAACCAGTCTTTCTACAGCAATAGAGAACAATACCGACAGCATCTGAAGGAGAAATTTAATAAATACTGCCGCTTAAATGATCACAAGAGGCCCATTTGTAGTGGCTGGTTGACAATGGCTGGAGCAAATTAAATAAATAAAATAGCTCTGTCTTTCAATGAAACACTCATGATGACTACTGCGCCTTCTCTTTCGGAAAACTCTTAATTTAGTGACTTAACGGCAAAATTTTATCTTAAATGTGATTCTTTCTTGTTTTGGGAGACGGTGGAGGTATCCTCATTAGTTTGTTCCTTCTTCAGGCTTGTGTCTTTAGTTGGCTAAACATGACAATAAAAGAAACTGTTTAACTATTGCCCTGTTCAGTTTTGAAATTATATAATGGTTCACAAAATTTTTAATGTGAAGAAAATCTTCACACTTTAAAAGGAATTGTCTGTATTTTATTAATATTTTATGTTTTATTTAACTTTTAAGTTCAGGGGTATATGTGTAAGATGTGTAAGTTTGTTGCATAGGTAAACATGTGTCATGGGTACTTCTTGTACAAATTATTTCCTTACCCAGGTATTAAGCCTAGTATCCATTAGGTTTTTCCTGATCCTCTCCCTCCTCCCACCTTCCACCCTACGTTAGGCCACAGTGTGCAGTGCTCCCTCTAGGTACTTATGTGTTCTCATCATTTGGATCCTACATTTAAGTGAGAACATGCAGTATTTGGTTTTTTGTTCCTGCATTAGTTTGCTAAGGATAATGGCCTCGAGCTCCATCCATGTCCCTGCAAAAGACATGATATCATTCTTTTTGATGGCTGCATAGTATTCCATGGTGTATATATATGTACCACATTTTCTTTATCTAATCTATCACTGTTGGGACATTTAGACTGATTCCATGTCTTTGCTATTGCGAATAGTGCTACAGTGAACATACATGTGCAAGTGTCTTTATAACAGAACGATTTATATTATTTTGGATATATTCCCAGTAATGGGATTGCTGGGTCAAATGGTATTTTCTTTCTCTAGGTCTTTGAGGAATCACCACACTGTCTTCCACAATGGCTGAACTAATTTACATTCCAACCAACAGTGTAAAAGTGTTCCTTTTTCTCCATAAGCTCGCCAGCATCTGTTATTTGTTTAACTTTTTAATAATAGCCATTCTGACTGGTGTGAGATGGTATCTCACTGTGGTTTTGATTTGCATTTCTCTAATGGTCAGTGATATTGATTTTTTTTCCTATGATTGTCGGCTCCATGTATGTCCTCTGAGAAGTGTCTGTTCATATCCTTTCCCCACTTTTTAATGGTTTATTTTTAAGTTTGCTTAAGTTCCTTTTAGATGATGGATATTAGACCTTTGTCAGAAAAATGTGGAATACTTCACGAATTTGCATGTCATCCTTGCACAGGAGCCATGCTAGTCTCTGTATTCTTCCAATTTTAGTATATGTGCTGCAGAAGTGAGCACTTTATGTTGTATTTTTATCACATAAAATGAAATTGCACTGCAATGGGCTGGTAAAAATAATATAGTTGTACTTAGTCTATTACAAAGCAAACAAAACCTTTGAATTTGGGTAATGAAAGAGGCATAATATAGAGCTAATATTTGCTGGGCTCAGTGACTCACACCTGTAATCCCAGCCCTTTGGGAGGCCACGGAGTCCAGGAGTTCGAGATTAGCCTAGGCAACATGGTAAAACTCCGTCTCTACAAAAAGTGCAAAAAAAAATTGCTGGGCATGGTGGCACACACTTGTAGTCCCAGCTACTCAGGAAGATCACCTGAGACCAAGAGGTCAAGGCTGCAGTGAGCCACGATCACACCACTGCACTACAGCTGGGTAAGAGTATCCCACCTGGGGGGAGGGGGGAAGCAGGGTGAATACAATACAACTGGAAAACCCTTTTGGCAGACTCAATATGACAAGCAAAGATAATATCAAGAGTTGCGAGGAGACTAATAGCAATATGGAACATAAGATAATCAACAGAAATATTCTACAACAAAAATTATTAGAACACCCTGCCCTAAAAATTCTCTCCCTTACCGAATTTTACTTCTAGTTATAAATGACAGAATAAGGAAACAGTGAGACAGAAGTTTGGAAGAAAAAAAAAAAAACCTGGAAACAAAAATTAAACAGTCTTCAAAACCAGATGCAACACACCCCCACCAACTCACAACCTCACATACACCTGATCGTCCCTCTTGTACCCAATGTTATCTTGATGCCAAGTCTTCCCAAATTGATCTACAGCTTCAATGCATCCCAATACAAATGCCAACAGAGATTTTCAAGGTCATAAACTTATATGCGAGGGCAAAGGGGAAACAATGGCTAAGATACGGTCTAAAAGAAAAATTAGAAGGGAGGAGGCCAACCTGCCTACTGAGATATGAAACCATAGTAAAGAAGATAGTAGGGTTCTTACAGAGCTAAATGGACCAATACAACAGAAAAGATAATTCAGAAACAAAATCATGCTTATAAGGAAACTTGGTATCTTACAGTGATAGCACAGTAGGAAAAAATGTATTATTTGAGTAGAGCAATTAGTTTGCCATACAGAAAAATAACACTGAAAATGGATCCCTACCTCAAACCATAGGAGAAAACTAATTCCAGATCCTTAAATTTAAATGCAAATAAATGGAATATTTATATTTGAAATATTATACATTAATGAGAATGAACTACTATGAATGAATTATGTATATGCAATATGGATAAATCTTAGAAATACAATGCTGAATAAAAAAAGCAAGCCATGCTAGACTGCATACAGGATAAATCCATTGTTATAAGCCCAAACACAAGCAAAATTAAACAATAATTGTTTAGTAATACATATAGATGTGATTTTTAAAAATGTTAAGTGCAAGGGAATGATAAACATCCCTTTTGTGGTTGGTGAGAAGTTTACAGGTAGAAGAAACAGAATTGGTCATTTTCTAGCTTTTAGTTTTAATGGTGGATTCAGAGATGTTTGACTTATTATAAATTTTATAATACATATTACATTTGTTCATTTGAATGATTAAGTATAAGACAATTTTTAAGTCTTTAATTACACTACAAATAGAGAGCACAGAGAAAGGAATGATTAATACTCCTGGAGCAACATCAGAAGACTCCATGAAAGAAACCCCATTTTTACCAGTCATATCTGGCAGGCAGAAGAGAAAAAAGGAGAGTGGGGAAAAGGTCAAAATCCAGGCACAGGGGACAGCATAAGCCACGGCAAAGAGGCAGGAAAAGACAACACCTTCTCCGAGATTAGAGAAAAGCTAAAATAGCATGAATAAAGGTAAGTGGAACTCTAATTAAGAGATAAAGAAAAGACTATGGAAATTAGGAGACCAAACTTGAAAACTTCTTTATAAATGGTCAAGCAAGGCTTTTATAAAAATAAGCAGATTGAGAATTAAATAAAGAAAATTAATTGTGTGGTAAACAAAAGTTCTAAAAGAAACATTAAAATATTCTAAAAGCAATTATATCGAGAGAGGAAAACATTTTCTAAAATAAACATGTAAATAAAATGATAAACTCCATAAGCAGACAAGATTTTAAAATTATCTTTTAAGGTATGATTAAACTGCTGTATAGAAATGTGTTTTCATTTTGTTCTTTTTCCTCTCCCTTGTCACTCTGGAGGAAATATTTAAAGATCTTAAAGAAAAACCTTTCCTAATCATCAAAAGACAGAAAGGCAGGCAGGAAAGAAGTATGACACAGCAACACTACTTAATGTTTCATGTATTTTCTACAATATCATCTCAGAAGGCCTACTATCCTCACAACTGCTTCTGCTACTACAGGGAGGGCATTATAGGTTTTAAGCAAAGAACCTTGTACATAAGTAAAAACACAATAAATGTTTGCGAAAAAAGTAACTACAGAATGAAAATGGAAATATTTTTACCCTGAATAGAAAAGAGAGGGGGGTATTAAAAGGGCAGAAAAAGAGAGTCCTGAGACAAGCTGCACAAAGAAAGCCTCAGCCAAGAAAGAGACAATCTGTGTCTGTCATTGCTTATTTGGACCAGACTCTGGAAATGGCCTTATGCCCAAAATTCTGTGTAACAGATCTTTGTTCAATAAGCTTGAAACAAGGTCCCAATCAACTTCGAAGTTAACTTGATTCAGAATGACCTATATACACACCATAAAATAGATCTATTTAGAAAAGATGAGCTGCAAAATCAGACTCTGGTGGAAAAACAAAAAACACTTGGATCAGAATTATTCTGAAATATTTTGGCCTGGGAAAAACTGAATCTGTCACTAACATTCTGGCCCATGCCTAACTTTTTAATACTTCCCATGACATTTTTCTGTCTCCTCTTCACCTGCTTAATTATGTTACACAAACTACAAAATATTCTATGTGGTAATTACATATCCACCTCAAAAAAGAAAATGTTGCCTAATTTAGTGATAATCATTTCTTATCCAAACTAGAATCTAAGCTAAATATGAACTTCTAATAGAACATTAGATCACAGTTTATTTTCTAAACAGCAGGTCATGAATTTGTACTTATTCTTCAGCCTACTACTACTCCTTACCTAACAACTAACATTTGTTTTAATATTTCCTGAGTGTCTCTCCCTTCTTAAAAAGATAATATATTTTAAATTCTCCAGCCCAGGCAACATAGTGAGACCATGTCTCTTAAAAAAAATTTTTTTTTTTTTAATTAGCCAGGCAAAGGTCAGTTGCAGTGGCTCACATCTGTAATCCCAGAACCTTGGGAGGCCAAGGCGAGAGAATCACTTGGGGTCAGGCGTTCAAGACCAGTCTGGCCAACATGGTGAAAACCCCATCTCTACCAAAATATATAAAAATTAGCTGGTGTGACATGTGTGCCTGTAGTCCCAGCTACTCAGGAGGTTAAGGGAGGAGAATCCTTTGAACCCAGGAGGCAGAGGTTGCACTGAGCCAAGATTGTGCCACTGTACTCCAGCCTGGGAGACAGAGTGAGATCCTGTTTCCAAAATAAATAGAACAAATAAATACATTAGCCAGGCATAGTGGCTCACGCCTGTAGCTTCAGCTACACAGGAGGCAGGAGAATTGTTTGAGCCTAGGAGGTTGAAGCTGCAGTAAGCAGTGATCATGCCACTGTATTCCAAACTGGATGACACAGCAAGACCATGTCTCAATAAATGAAAAAGAAGTAAATAAAATTCTCTACAAATGTCAGGCTGTATAGTCTAAAGACTAAGAGTTGAGTTCAGGAACCAAACTGTGGATTTAATAGGTAAGGCTGCACCATTTACTAACTGCGTGAATGTGAGTAAGTTACATAACCATCCTATGCCCTCAGTTTCTTTACCACACAGATGAGATGTAAAAACAAGCAAAAAACAGTTATCAACTTCACACAGTTATTGTAAAGATTAAATAAGGTAATATATAGAAAGGATTTTCAACAGTTTCTGGCATGTAGAAAAATCAATATATGTTAGCTCTTTATTATGTTTCCCAGTCTGTATGCAAGTGTCTGAGCTTACTTGATGATAGGAAACCAGGAAAAGCTTATAGCCAATAATAAATACAACTCTTCTTAGCAATCTTAGACATCATTAGAAGTTATTATCTAGGGCTTGGCGTGGTGACTTATTCATGCAATCCCAGCACTTTGGGAGATCGAAATGGGTGGATTGTTTGAGGCCAGGAGTTTGAGACCAGCCTGGCCAACATGTCGGTCGAAACCCTATCTCTACTAAAAATACAAAACATAGCCAGGCATGGTGGCACATGCGTGTAATCCCATCTACTCAATAGGCTGAGGCACAAGAATCACCAGTAATTTCAGCTAAATGGAAGGCAGAGGTTTCAGTGAGCTGAGATCGCATCACTGCACTCTAGCCTCAGCGACACAGGGAGACTCAAAAGAAAGGAAGAAAGAGAGAGAGAAAGAAATTGTTTTTTAGTTCATAAGATACCTCACTTACATTGCATATACAACAAGCAGCGCAAATCAGTATTATCAAAAAAGATTCAAATCTAAAAACTTTGAAAGGATTTGGTTGGATTCACTTAGTAGTAGCCCTTTCTAGGCCTCCTTATTTTCTTCTTCATTATAGGAGTATTTTTGGTCCTACAATTCTTCTTACAAACAATGACCACATTTGGAGATATTTATACTGAAAGGATATTTAAAAGTACAAGTTGATACTTCAGTTTAAATTCTGAGCATCGATTTACACACTGATGTCTCTCCCTCCTGTAATGTCACCAAAATGACTGCCAAAGAATTCATCTGTATATACACACACACACACACACACACACACACACACACACACACACACACACACATTTTTTTAGAAGGATAAGGGACAAGTATTTGCAATAAATCTCTGAATATTAGAAAGTAAATAGAGGCAAGGCAGCTAACTCATCTGAATAGAAGCAGCAGAACGTAAAACACCTGCACACAACAAAGCAATTTA